AGATAAGGCTTCCACGGTTCCTTATTGAGGGCAAAATAGATGTGACCGCTAGGTTGGGGATGCTGGAGAGCCCTGCCGCACAGGTTTGCGAACGCCACAAGCCTCGACGCCCGAACTCTGAGGGCCGCTACCCAAGTACCTGGCAAACAGCGCGGGTGCCAACCTCATGCGGTTTGAGAATGGAGTTTGCCAGCAGACGAGGCACGTGGCATGTTTGCAGTGATTGAGTCAATGCAGTGAGCAGCGCACGTCGAACATTTTGACTGCCCTTGGTGCGGCCTCGCCTGAATCTGGGTGTGAAACATCTGCCGCAGAGCAGCTCTCTACACGGAACCAGTCCGGCAACTGCTCCACACAGCCGTGGAGACCCAGTCCCGAACATCCTCATAAAAATTCACTTTGCTCTACAGCTTGTTCATACAAGCATCTCGTGACTGCGTTGCCTGCTTCAGGGACTGAATCTCAGCGTCCCACTCCTGAGGTTGAGCTTTTGAAGAAGCTGAGGTCGTGACTTCAGGCAGGTTATATTCTTCTCATCGCACACGACATGTAGCAAATGCAAAGCAGCCATTGATGTGCAAGAACTTAGCAATACTTTTCCTTCGCAGTGTGGAAGTCCAGGCGACAGAAGTCGTCAAGAACTGTAATCTTGCATCGTCAGACTCCACATATGTTGTATTCTCATTCTCACTATTGTCGTCACCCTCACACCACCAGACATGGCAGCATTACTTTACATTAAGTTTAACTATACATTGGAACACAACTAACTATCGATACGAAGACATGCTCTGCGTCACATAATTGCACGCATACCTGTGTGGAAGTGACTATGACATACATGTGAGATCAGCCTGGAGTCTGTGATCACATGACACATAGACAAAAACAAGCTAGACAGCACTACTCTACTTCCTCATAGCCTTGGATTTCAGATGGACCTTCCTGACGGAGCTGGAATGATTTTTCTTGGTAGAGGACGACGTAGACGAGGCGGGGCGACGACAGACATACTTGTGGGAAGTGGGCTTTCGCAGTACGCGAGCAGCCCTGGCGATTTCGGCCTTCGCGCTGAAGGCGTTCAAGTGCTTCATGTAATTGCGGCGCATGAGAAGGTTGTGCCTCTTGACGTAGACCAGGACAAAGAGCATGTGCGAGTTCATGGCCTTGGTATTGAAGGAGGAGGCGTAGTTGCGGAACCAAGAGAACGTTTGCTCGGCAATGGACGAGTTGACGTTGCGAAGACGTAGATCCAGGCGCCCATGACGCAGAGGCGAGCATTCACACTTCGGAGAGTGAGCCCTGGCGTAAACACGATCAATGCACCAGTACTTGATGTGGTTCAATGGCTTTTGGGCCCTTGCATGCTTCAGCAGGCGCACATCCTATCGTATATCACGCAGTCGATCTCGGAGCCTCGCGACACCATGTCAAGGAGAACGTTGGTGGCTGTCTCATTATTTTCCGGATCTCGCATGGCAGACACGGACAGGACGAGTCCGGTCGAAGGATCAACTGCCATAAACCAGCCGTCCTGTCGTTGAGGAGTCTTTCCATCCTTGCGTGGTCTCGGAGCACTTAGCAGCTACCTTCTGGTGCTTATCCATAACAACCTCCTTCACCATTCGCCATTCTCTTTTGTTGAGCTGGTTGTCATGCCACCATTTCCTGTACGTCTCCGGAATTCTGCACGGTCTAGGAACACCCCACAGTCCAAGGTTGAGCTTGCTTCACTTCCAAACAATGCCTTATCCAGGATATAGTGTCCATTCCCTTGCCGCTGCCGCCCTTCCCTACCAAGAAGAGAATCCTGGACGTGCAGACTTGAGCAAAGGCTGCTTTCATGAAGCATAGCTTAAGCTGCAGAGCGTGCTCGTTGTCGAAATAGACAGACTCCAGGAATGTTCGGAGCACATTGCGAAAATCCTGAATCGAGATGCCTGGGTGGTTTTGCAGCGTCTCCTCATAGAAGTACGGATAGCCAATGCGAAGGTAGCAGTCATTTGCCCGACTTTTCGTAGACACCTGCCAGGTCGCGTTGAGGTAGAGGTCGCTGGAGCAGACTCCTTGTGAGCGAGGCAAGGCTGTATCCCACTCTACGAGGAAGAGCTTCGAAAGCGGGGCGATAGTGCTGCACTCATCATCCCACTGCATCCTATACGACGCGATCATTTCCGCCACCCGCCTCGACCACTTCGCTTTCCAGACTTTGTTGGAAGTCGCCACACGAAGACGGTCGATGTTCGACTTTGCAACGAGCTCAAGATGGTCGACCAATGTCTGGGAAACATTACTCTCAGCGTGTCTGCGACAGACATAAAGCTTTTGCTCGTCGGCAGCATCTTAGATCCCTGAATGAACAAGCCCTCCAACGCCAGGAGAATGTGCCAGGCCTTGATTCGCAGACCGTCGACCATGCGCCAAGCGCCGTCCTCGTAGTGAAAGATTTGCTTCTGATGCGCACGCCATGTGTGTGGCTCCATGAGCATAGCAAAGGCCAACTTTTGTTTGTTGGACATAAGTTAAGGTAATTGGCCATATGCGCTTCGCACAGGAACCTGGCCATGTTGACAAGCTTGCGCACATCATCCTGGTACATGGAGTAGTTCTCATTTGACCATACAAGATAAGCCTCCACCTTCTCCTTCATGCCATCTTTCGGCTGGACATCCGGTAGGACGACATCAGGGGGAGCTTCGTCAGCATTATCCCACTGCATGTCCGAGAATGCCTGAAACCTTGGTGCGTCGGCAACACACACAACATTATCAAAGCGTCTTCACTGCATGACTGCATGACTGACTGCAAGAGGATGTCTGAGGACACAACAGGTTGCGAACATGCAGGCGGTTCGCAGGTGGAGGAGGGGCTTCCGGCGACGAGATGCCCGCACTTGATTTTCTCCTTTTCTTGCCGCGCATGTGCTTCCGGTCGTAGACGTGCTATCTTCATTCTCTCAAGTTCCAATTCAAGCTGCTTCTTCTCAATATCTTTGTCCGTGGAGCTGGGCTTCTGACACATAGCCAAGTCCTTCACAGTCTGTTTGGCAGTGGTCGTCGTCGCAAATGCATCACTACTCTGGCTGCTGCTTTTGTCTTCTTGCATTTGCATCTATCGATGCCCCACGCGCCACATGTTGAACATCTGCGTCGAGCCATTCTGCAAACTATCTCTACTGACGATGGCTGAACATAGACTTTTGCAAAACTGCAGCAACATGCACATGAGGCATGCGGTAACATCTTATGCTCGCGGCGCAACTGGAAATAGAATAGAGACGTGAGTACAGTAGCAACGCATAGACAGCTTGCATACTGCATGTTGTTGCTTTATGGAAAATATTTGCTAACATGTGCTAATATGCCTTTAACACAAATACAAACGTACATACGCACAAGCACTGACGGCCCTGCGTCGCGTGGACGCAGAGGCAAAGACCTGCAGCGAGCACGTCCCAAGCGTACAAAGAAAAGGAAAGAGTGTGCATCCGGGGGGGGCGGGCTCGGCCAAAAAAAATCAAATATTGTTGTTTTTGTTTGGCCGCCCCGCCCCCCCAGTGTCTCCTAATGATACTGATACAACACCCTGCACCGTGGAATACTCACATATCCAGTACCTTTATGAATTGTATATACTATATACAACTATACGTAGATATTGTTTTCATTCCTTGCTGCTGTATTCAATATGAAATACGATCGTAAAGGATATGAATGGATATGAATAAGGTAAACTCGTAGCAAGTGCATCTCCCAACAAACCCCAAAGAGATAATATACACCAATACCTCTTGCCCTCCAACCCTAAAAACGCAGGCCCGTATTATGTTGTTTTCTGTAGGTTTAAGGGCTTAGGGTTTAGGGTTGTTTCTTTAAGGAGCTCCTTTTCAGGATCTTTGAAGGAAGCCTTAAAGAGAACCCTAAGCCCCGAAGCCCTGCAGCCCAAACTGTCTGGTGCTCTTTTCGGCTATGGGTAGGCCCTAAACCGTCACCTCCCAAAAGCCTGATAGGGGCCACGAACCCGAATGCAGACACGCGTAACGCAGATATCGCATCCCCTAAGGAAAATAACCGGAGAAGGAATCAGGGCAGCACCAGAGTCGTTCCCCCTTAGGTTGACGGATTCAAAACGCGCGCGACACGCGCGTGAAGTTCCCCCTTAGCTTGACGGATTCAGAGCGACACCTCTGGGGTTACCGATTCCCCCCTTAGCTTGGCGCGCGACACGCGCGTTCTGCGGAGTTCCCCATTCTTAGCTTGACGGATTCAGCTGCCGGAACACGCCTCCTGTGAATTCCTCCCCCTTAGCTTGACGGATTCAAAACGCGCGCGACACGCGCGTTCTGCGGAGTTCCCCATTCTTAGCTTGACGGATTCAGCTGCCGGAACACGCCTCCTGTGGAGTTCCCCATTCTTAGCTTGACGGATTCAGCTGCCGGAACACGCCTCCTGTGGAGTTCCCCATTCTTAGCTTGACGGATTCAGAACGCCGTCGGACGCGCCGCCGCCGGGCTTGACGGATTCAGAACGCCGTCGGGATGCTGCCGGGACGCTGCCGGAACACGCATCCTGTGGAGTTCCCCCTTAGCTTGACGGATTCAGAACGCCGTCGCACGTTCTGTGGAGTTCCCCATTAACAGCTGCCGGAACACGCCTCCTGTGGAGTTCCGCCTTAGCTTGACGGATTCAGAACGCCGTCGGGACGCACCGCCGTCGGGCTTGACGGATTCAGAACGCCGTCGGGACGCTGCCGGTACGCCTGTGGAGTTCCCCCTTAGCTTGACGGATTCAGAACGCCGTCGGGACGCGCGTTCTGTGGAGTTCCGCCTTAACAGCGCTGCGCGACACGCCTCGCGTCACACGCGGACGCTTTGCGAACGCTTTGTCAACGCTTGCGGACGCTTTGCGGACGCTTCAACAACGATCGCTGGTCACCTGCTGGACCCCTGGAGCCCAACCTTTCAAACGGGAACCCTTCTGCGCAGCATTCGGGAAAAGAAACTAAAACGATGCTTCCAAGGATCTCCCGTGGGTCTCGGAGAGCAGGAGGAGCCTAGGATGGCTTGCGGCTTAAAAAAGAAAGAGTTGGTTTCGGGGTGCAACCCATAATGAGGAAGTAAAACGGATCGTCTTCGAAAGTGTTAGGTTTCCATACGGCCTCTTGGAGGGCTTTGGCACTGAGTTAGGCTCGAGGTGTTGATGGTTTGGGGGTTTGGCGGCTTAGGCTTTAGGGATCAGGCTCTGGTGATCTATGGGTTTAGCATTGAGGGTTTTGAGGGTTCAGGGCTGCTCTGCACAATTATGATTTTGGTGTTCGAAATATTGGAAACTGGGAAGGCTGATCCCCATCTTGCTCTGCAAGGGCTCGGGGCTGAAGCCCTATCTAGCAACCTGGGAGGTGGATTGCGCTTGAGTGGGGAAGGTAATGCAGGGGCCTTAATAATTAGAATAGGGTTTTGGGGCTGATTATACTATAATATATTTATTTCAAGCAGCCCCCAAGATAGTGTAGGGCATTGTTAAGGCCCCTATATTGAAGCGTCTGGCTGCAGGCAGAAGCTGCAGGGTTTGGCGCGAATTTCCGCACCTTGGGGACTTCAGGTTGCCTGCTTATGACATGGACGCTCCATGCCCAGAGACTCCAAAATCCCTTAATTAAGGAATATTCCTTAAATCATATTAGGGATCCTACTATAATTTAAGGTGTATTCCTTAATTAAGGGATATTGGACTCTCTGGGTGGTTGCGGGCATCCCCGACACCGCGACCCTCCAAACCCGAAGTTAGTATCGGCATCGATGGATGATGCTAACTTGTTTTATGCTCTTGCCGCAGGCTTTAGCTCGCCCTTCCAGGGGGACTGACGACTGCTGCTGAGAAGGCCGGTATGTTTCGTACTCTCAATTGGGGGTATTTGCTCCGACCGGCGCTACCGTTTTTCTGCTGCTACCCTAACTATCATCATGTCGAGTCTCATTCCCAATTCTAGGCTAACTACTAAGAGTGCGACTACTACTGCAACTGCGACCTTACTACTACTTACCACGCATTACTTGCTACATACAACGTACTACATACTACTACCTACCGTAGGTCAAAGACCAAACCTCACAACCACCTGGGAAACGAAGTATAAGCTGGCATTTAATATAATACAAGAAACAGGTTAAAACTAGCAGGCATGCTTGCACGGTACTTCAGAACCCAGCATATTACCAAGACACCGTAAAATCCTTAACCCTGAGCGCCGAACCCTAAACCAAGAAAACACCTCAAGTCTCTAGCCCTGGACTTTGAAGTAAAGCATTCAGGGTTTAGGGCCTAGGATTTTTTTTCTAGGGTTTAGGGTTTAGGGCTTAGGGTACTTGGAGGGTCGGGGGACTTAGTAAGTAGGTAGTAAGTAGACTTATAAGTACCCTAAAAGGGACCCTAATTGGGGTTATGGTACTTATAAGTCCCTAAGATAACCAGCTACTAAGTCCCCCGACGCTCCAAGTATAGGGTACCCGAAACCCCAAACCAGAACCCGGAGCCGGGGTGCAGCTCCCGCCACTCCTGCTGCAGCTCCTTCTCGCGGCGTTCCTGCCACGGGGTGCCAGGAAACCATGGGCCCCATGAACTATACGATAATATACTAGACAAAGATAAACTAAAACCCTAAACCTACTATATAATAATATACTAGACAAAGATAAACTAAAACCCCTAAACTTACTATATAATAATAGACTGAACCCTAAACCCAAAAAAAGTCTCTGAATGGGGCCGTTGAGGTTTGAGGATCCAGAGTCCCTAAGCCCTAAACCCTCTGCGCAGTCTTCCTGTCGTTTGGGGGCGCGTAGGCCTGGGCATGGGAGTCTTGAGAGATGTTTGAAAGCATAGGGATGGTTGTCAAAATTATGGTCCCTTTTTGGGCCCCTGTTATAATACGGCACCTATTATTTAGGGTACCCGAAACGGGACCCTCATTTTGACAGCCACCCAATATGGATAGCTTTTTGTCGGCACATGTTGGCAGGCTCGGCGTTTCGGGTTGAGGAGTCGGGGCCTCGGGGTTCAGAGTTTGGGGTTTTGGGGTTTAGGGTTTAGGGTTTCAGGTTTAGGGTTTAAGGTTTAGGGTTTAGGGTTTATGGGTTAGGGTCAAAAATGTGGATGGTATGCCGTTTCAGCTGATTTAGGCTGGAAGAAATGAAGATGGAGGTGGGGAGGGGGGCGTGCTTTAAGACATATTTTATCTCATGTTAATCGCTGTGGGAAAGAAACTCAGTGCAGTTGACCTCAGCCAAAATCCGAACCCTAAGGCCAATAATTGTGCTGCCCCCGCACCCCAACATCGCCCAACATCCTGATCTGTTGAGTTGTGGCTTCAAAAGGCTTGGCGCAGACATGGGGGCTTCAAACTTGACTCTTGGAGCTCCAGGGTAAAGGCAAACCCACGTCACCTTTTAAGCCACCCTCCGATGGTTTCGCGAGCAAGGCTCCTTCTCCTCCGCTTCCTGGATGCTCTCCCAGACGTCCTCCGAGGCAGTCCGAACTGCGAACCCCCCCCCCCAGTATTTCTATCCACAGCGCCGCAAGTAGACCAAAAGACCCAAAACCCGAGCAAGAGAAAGAGCGCCCCACGTTGTCGACCCAACTGTAAGCCCCTACCTCTGCTAGTTATCGGGCTTAGGGTATTCTTCCAGACACTGAATGAGATCACGGCCTCAAGATCCTAACCGCACTCCTGTGGTCGTTTCAACATCTTGTCGAAGCATCCAGTTAGCGACAGATGGTGGAGAAAGAACCGCTAGTTCCCTCGGTGCTGTGCTGTTGAGGATCATGACACTGTTGACGATGGCAATGGTACAACCGATGCGGCTGATGATGCTGGCGATAATGGCGACGACGGTGGTTGCGTTCAAACTGACGATAATGACAGTGCGCACTTTAACATGATGATGCTGATAATGATGAAGATGGTGATCATGATGATGGCGATGCCGCTGCTGCTGCCGAGGCTTTTGAGGGTGGTGGTGGTGGTGGCGGTGGCCGCAGTGATGGTGGTGGTGGTGCTGCTGGTGGTGGTGGTGTTGGTGGTGGTGGTGGTGGTGGAGGTGGGGGTGGCGGTGGCGGTGGCGGTGGTGGTGGCGGTGGCAATGACGGTAGTGGTGACAACTGTGATGGCGATGTTGGTGCTGATGAACGTGATGGTACTGGTATGTACTGGCGATAGATGGTGATGGTGGTCACGGTGCTGACGGTGGTGATGCGATCATGATGGTGACAACGGTGACAGTGGTCACGGTGTTGTCGATGGTGCTGATCGCACTGATCATGCTGATCGTGCCATCTAGAAGCCCCAAACCAAAATGCAGCGTGGTAGTGTTTCCACACTAAACATCCAAGTATCAGAATCTACGGTGTAGGATTTAGGGCTCAGGGTTTTGAGTTTGAGGCGTTATTAACTTCTCGGTTTGTGTGAAGTGTAGGTTTAAACCCTGTGCCCCCGAAGCCTATAACCCTTGCGCCCGACATCTTCTCTTGCAGAACTTGTGCAAGTGGCCTTCGTTGACGCACTCGTCGATGGGCGAGCCTCACCGCATCAGCCCCCAAAGCAGAAAGAAGAAGCCCCTTACACGTACTATAGGGGCCTTGATAATTAGAATAGGCTTTAGGGGCCCATTATACTACAATTATTACAAAACAGTCTAGGTAATTGCATCGGCCCCCTTGCACGTACACCCTCAAAATATCTAAACCCGTACTCTCCCCCTCCCTCCACTTGAAGGCCGGAGCCTCGAACCTTATCCCAAGCACCAGGCTTGGAACCCACACCCTCAACCCAGAGACTCCAATATCCCTTGAATTAAGGAATAATACCTTAAATTATAGTAGGATCCCCAATATGATTTAAGGAATATTCCTTAATTAAGGGATATTGGAGTCTCTGGGAACCCTTAAGATTAAGGAATATCATTATCGTAACCCCTTTAAGGTAAATTATAGGGGATCCTACCATTAATCCATATTCCAACTTTCTGGAGTTCCCTATAAGCTGCTAGGGCGCTCAGGAATCGCTGCATCGCTTGTTGCAGGCTTCGGGGCTTGGCGTGTGGCGTATTTCGGTCAATGACTCACGGTTTAGGGTTTAGGGTTTAGGGTTTAGGGTTTAGGGTTTAGGGTTTAGGGTTTAGGGTTTAGGGTTTAGGGTTTAGGGTTTAGGGTTTAGGGTTTAGGGGTTAGGGGTTAGGGGTTTAGGGGTTTAGGGGTTTATAGGGGTTTAGGGGGTCAATGACTCTGTGTCAAGCCTCGGGCTTCGGGCTTTGGGCCAAGGATTTACCTTCCAAAGCAGTTGGTCTACAAGGTCCGTCAGGGTTGTCTTGCTGGGATAACCCTTATATTACCAAGCATGAACCCTAAATACTCTAAACCCTGACCCCTAAATCCTAAACTCTAAACGTTTAAAGGAAGTACCTTAAAGCGTCTCCAGACAAGAGTGGAGGACTGGGCTCCGTCACCTCGGCAGCGGCGAGGTCGAAGGCATAGTCTAGCGCCTGGAAACAGGCAACAGTCTGCCCAGAGACTCCAATATCCCTTAAGTAAGGAATATACCTTAAATTATAGTAGGATCCCTAATATGATTTAAGGAATATTCCTTAATTAAGGGATATTGGAGTCCCTGGGTGCTTGAAGGGCTGCCTCGGGTTTAGTTAGGGTTTGGGGTTGCTTGAGGTTTAAGGTTGAGAGCTCAGCACTTCGGATTTGCATTTTGTGGGGGTTTTGAGGCAAGCTTGAAGGCTTCTCAGGTTTGGGGCCTTGTAGCAGTCAGTGCCGATGGAGTGCCCTAACCCTCCATCCTCAATCCTAAACCTCTGGCCTCCAGCGTCTGAATCGCCGCTTTTGCCAGGATCTCCTACCGGGAGGAGGGTGGGTCGAGGGCTTATGTTTTGGGGTTTGAGGTGTCGAAGTTTAGGATTTAGGGTTCGGGATGGTTGTTGGGTTTTGAAGCTAACTTGAGCTCGAGACGGTCTTTGCCAGTCCGGAGTGCTAAACGCTAAACCGAAAATGCTTGTAACGCTGATGACGTCGTCCTAGATTTCTGGTTCAGGGTTTGCAGGCTTTCAACTAAGCATCCGAATGGCCTGATCCGGCATATTCCCTTCTGCCTTCAGACCATAACTGCGCAGGGTGGGAAAGACGGGCGAGGGATACCACAAGCTGTTGAGCCAACCCCTAGATCCTAAACCCCAGATCCCTAAAACCCCCAAACCTCCAAAACCATGTTCGAAGCCTTATAAAAGCTTTATACAGATCCCCCTTAAAGAACCCTTTACAGAGCCAACAAACCCTAAGATGTAGACCCCAAAGAGGGCAGTGCCCGCGACTGGAACTGAAAGCGGCTCGGGGTTCCGTATCCGCGCGGAAGACATCAGGGGCACAGCGGAGGGAGCGCCAGTCCTTCGTAGGATGCTATGGCTTCATAAAGTCTTATCTTGTGCACCCGTAGCACCAAATTAACATAAAGACATTCAGAATCATCCACTGGAGTTTTGCTTAAGGCTTATACTAAACAAAAATAGTCCCCCAGAATAATTCTCTGGAGCTTTTCTTGTAAGCAACAAAGAGAGAGCGAGAGAGAGGAAGAGAGAGAGGAAGAGAGAAGAGAGAGAAGAGAGAGAAGAGAGAGAAGAGAGAGAAGAGAGAGAAGAGAGAGAAGAGAGAGAAAAGAGAGAAGAGAGAGAAGAGAGAGAAGAGAGAGAAGAGAGAGAAGATCCCCGCAAGGGCATGGGCACCCGCGTTGTCTCCGCCCCCGAAGGGGGCACGGAGCTCCGAAAACGTCATGGCCCCGTGCAGAGCAGGCAAGCAAGCAAAGTGAGCAGTAGCAAAATCTGTGTACTTGCACATGCGAGTGTGTGATATACCAGCTGTAACGGGATGTTCCCAGCTGCAGGGCGATGTTCTGGACCAGGGAGCCCCACTGCTGCAACCTGGAATCATGCGGTGTCCACAGTGTCTGTTTCGAGTCTGAGTCCCGAAGTGAATCGGACCAGCGCATGGTGCCTGACTCAGTGCTCGTAGTCGTCGGAAGCATACGACACTTCACGACTCTTACTGCCGCCCCCCGGGGTCCTCACCCTTTCCAACACCAGCCTACCCATCAAGGACAAGCACTAGGCCCCGGAAACGTTTAAGCAACAAAAATGGTTCCGAAGAACAATGAAACCCTGGAGTTGTGAGGATGAGTTGCGCATGTCGCTTCCAAGGAATCGGCCGTGGGCTGAAGGGAGTTTCACAGGTTACGTGCAGGCTCAGGGGGTTTTGGGCTTAGGGTTTAGGAGTTTAGGGTTTAGGGTTTGGGGTTTAGGGTTTCGGCTTTGGGGTTTGGGGTTTCGGGTTGAAGGTTTTGGGGCTTATGAGAGCTTCATCTCAGTTCACATCAAAACGGTGATTATGGCTCGGGGTGCAGGTTTCCGGGTTTGGCTGGAGGGTTTAGGGTTAGGGTGCGTCGGGTTCTGCAAGCATTCTGCTGTCAGGGGCTTGCGAGAAACTTGGGACAAAGCTATTCCTGCGATTCCTGCACGCCATCGGCATGCAGATCGAACCCTTAATCCGGAACCATGGCGCCGGCTCACCAGGGCCCCTGTAAGGTCTGATTGAACAACATACGTCCCTTGTAGATCTGAAAATACAACCAGATACAGGAACCCGTGTAGGATCGCAAGAGCCTGGTAAAACCATCCGCCCTGGCAGTAGCAGATATCAGGAGCCCAGAACGAAGGGACTGCTACAAAGATGGTAGGCTGAAAAAGAGGAAAAAGACACCTAAGGCACAGAGCCTTTTGAGGAATTGCCCCGACAAAGGGCCAGGCTTTTACAGCTTATGTTTGTGCTTTTTCGGCCCCAAGAAACCCTAAAGCCTAATAGTACAACTATATACGGGACCTGAATAATTACCAATAAGTACAATTTCGGTGGTTGTTATAAGTGTAGCAAAATATAACCCCCCAGAACCCTTGTCTTGTCAAAGCCCCCGTAGTTTCGGCCAGGAGTCCTTCCGGACGGCCTCTAGGATGAAGGGGCGACTCTTCCGCAAGGAAGGGCCTTGAAAATGAGCGGCGGCGGTGGTCTTATAGGTTTAGAGATGTTGGGTTTCGGGGCAGGCTACAGTTGAATTGAATTACTCTTGGATGTCACCTGCTGGTGTAGGGTCCAGGGTTGAGAGTTCAAGTTTTAGGATGTAGAGTGGACTTTGAGTACGGCTTTGCGGTGTTGGGATCCTACTCCAAACAGTTTTGGGTTTACGGCTTGGGGTACAAGCACTTTCGTCGGGGTTCAGATCTCAAAAGGTTTAGGGTCTGGGGCGAGGTTTAGGGCTTACGGCGCATGTTTAGCGTAGCCGGATGGAGGTTCGGGGCTCAGAGTTTCGATTTCAAGTCATCGTATCGGTCTTCCCATCTTGGTTCGAGGCACGTTATGGCCTTTTGGGACCCAGGGACTCCAACATCCCTGAAGTTATCGATATACCTTAAATTCTAGCAGGATCCCTAATACGATTTAAGGTATATTAGATTCCTGAATTCAGGGATATTGGAGTCTCTGGGGCCTTTGAGGGATATTGGAGTCTCCCTTTGGGATTTGGGCTTCCTTCGCAACCGTCAACCGGAAGTGTCCGAGCGCAAGCAGAGCGCACGGGTAGCTTCAGTCCGGGTTGAGCGCCGCAAAACCGTTTAGATTTAGGGTTCAGGGTCTGGGGTTTACGTTTTGGGTATAGGGTTTAGGGTTTTGGGCCAAACCGCAGCACAAACTCAAAACCCGAAAACCGTAAGCCGTCAACGCCAAGCCCCCATGCCCTTAACCTCTAAACCCTACACCCTTGGCTTCAAACTCAGAACCCTCTCAGGCGTCGAAACTCGGCACCGGAACGTTTAAATCAAGAATCGGAAACTTCTTGAGGTTGAAGGATTTATGGGGACTTTGCTTTGACAGATGTTTAGAGTCGATGCTCACCGTTGCCATTGAAGCTTCAAGCCCTCGTTTAGGGTTTGGCTTAGTAAATACAGGTTTCGGGGTTCAGTTTAGGGGCTATCGTGAGGCTCAAAGCGTTTTGGGCTTGATAATTATGTTTAGGCTTTAGGATTGCCATGAAGGTTTAAGGTTAAAAGTTTAGGACGAAACCCGACCGCTGAACCCCGCTCGCACACAGAACTAACCGAACAGAACGTCTTCCTGATGCGGGGATCTTGCGAGAAAGCCCTAACAAAGATCACGGAAATCCGGGTAGGTTGGATACACCGATACACCGAGCTGGAGTTTAGGGCTAAGGGCATAAAGCCTGAAACCTTGAAAACATCAAACCCAAGACCCAACCAAACCCTACACCCCCGACCCTACCAGACCGGAGCTAAGCAAGCCGTGGCACCGGCAAACTGAAGTGCTAGCGGATCAAAAGAGAGCGCCAGTTCCATCAGCTCCTTCGCTAGTGCATGGTCTAGAGATTCAAGTTAGGGTTTGGGGTTCAGGGTTTAGGCTCTGGGGATGAAGGTTTAAGGCTTCATAAAGGCTATCAATGAAGTCTTTGTGCGGGGATCATAAGGCTTCGATAAGGGTTTGGGGCTAAGTGTCGAGGATTTTGGGCTTTAGACTGTCGCCTTCGCTGTTTAGGCTTCTGCAGTGCTTGCTCCTGGTGTTGCTGCAATCGTTTATCCTGCTTCTGACGTTGGTCACTCAAGCCTAAACCCTAAGACCCTAAACCCCAAACCCTCAACCCTAGACCCTAAACCCCAAACCCTCAACCCTAGACCCTAAACCCCAAACCCTCAACCCTAGACCCTAAACCATGATGGTGGGATATTTAAAAGATTCATGTTGGCCTGGGAGTCGTGCTCTCGGGCTTTCGACATACAACGGCTTGTAAAGCTCAGGCGCCAGGACCCAGAGACCTCAATATCCCTTAATTCAGGAATCTACCTTAAATCATATTGGGGATCCTGTTATACTTTAAAGCATGTTCCGTAACTAAGGGATAGTGGAGTCTCTGGGCAGAGAGGTCGTCTGTGCTTGAGGTTGGCTCCAAGTTGGGTTCTAGCAGGGGCTTAGAGTTGATGGGAGACCAACAGGGATGTTTAAGATTCTTGGGATAGGGATTCCTTAATATGAACCCTACTACGGGAACCCTAATCCCTACTAAACCCCTTGCTAAAACCCCTTTTGGCCTCCTATGTAGGGTTGAGGGTGATCCGCATCCCTCGGAGCGGTTCGACGGGTTGCCTCGTCCTCTCGGAGCACCACGGGGGCATAGTTTCCGAACGCCTGGCCGGGGTTCCCCGCAACTGCAACCTACTTCCCTAAGCCTGAACCTCCAAACCTCTGTGTAAGCTAAGCCCTAAACCTAAACCTCTAAACTACCTAAACCTACCAAAACCTACAAAAAAGTAGGCTCCCTAAAATTCAATATTGGGGTTTAGAATAGGAACCTACAAAAAAGTCTGTTATGGTAGCTTAAGGTAAGCCCTACAACCTGAAGTTATCAGTCCGAGCCCGAACCTTTGAACCCCTAAAAACCTCTCGATGCCTTCCATCCCAAGTCTCCTAAAACCCCCCAACCCCAAACCCCGATTCCAAGTCTAAACATCTAAACCCTAACCTCCCAGACCACTGATATACGGGCCTTAATGATGAGAACGGTGGTTTTGGGGCTCTTTTGTACTATTCTTTTAATAAGGAACCCCGAAATAGCATTGGTAATAAATCCCTTTACCCTGAGCTCTCAACCTCTGAACCTCTGACTCTATCCCTTGGCAGTCGTAATCATAAGGCTACATTGCAAACCCAACAACCTAAATTCGAGACCCCTGAACACCAAACCCTGGAAACCCTAGACCCTACCACAACTCTGGCTGAACCCTTGTATAGATCCACTTTGGCCTCCAAAGACTCTACAGCCAGGAATCCTAAAGAAAGCATCCTTTCGCTTTTGACTTGGAGATTTTTTGTGGGGGGATGCTATAGTGTAGTTCTGAAAAGGATGTCTCCAACCTCCGTATTACCTAGAAGCCCGCGTGGGCTTTAGGGTTCACACAGTTGAGGGTTTTGAGTTTCGGGCCTGCGGCTTTCGAGGATTTGGAATCTGGTTTGGCCGCGTTAAGTTAAAGCTCTCCACAAGACGTTGAATGCAACCGCAAAAACTGAAGTGTGGGTGCATGTCTTTCAGAAACGACTGAGACTGAAGCCCGCAACATTGAAGGGCAACTGCAGCCCTTAACCCCGAAATGCAGAGTGTACTTTGAAACCGACAAGCCCCAAGTCCTAGCATGCAATGACTACATACGCCGTCAGAACCATAGACATCCTGCAGATGTTCACAACATGACCAAAAGCAACACTATTCGAAAAAAGCCCTCAGACCCTGAAACCCTAGAGCCTGAAACCAAAAAACCTAGACCCGAGACCCCCAACTTTAAACGCTCGGCCCAGACCCCAAAATTTAACCCTAAACCTTTAAACCCTCAAGCCCGAAATCCTAAACCTGAAACCCCAAAGTCTAAACTCTAAACTCTTAACCCTAAACCTAAACCTCCCCCCTACCGAAAGCTACCCATGAACCTCCAAGCAAACCTCTTGAAAAAGAAATCCTATACTGAACTTACAACCCTAGCAAAAATTGTAATTTTAGCTGTCTCTTAGGGATTATAATAACCAACAATTAAAAACTATTTCTAAATACCCCTAAGATCAACCCAAAGGCCTGCCAACCTGTGGCCGGGCTTTGCTCGATGACCTGCAAAGCCGGGTCGCGGGGGGGGGGGGGGGGGTTGCTAAGGGTTCAGAGGTTCAGGATTTAGGAGTGGAGGGTTCAGGGTTTACGGCTTAGGAGTGCAGGGTTTAGGGTTCAGGGTTTAAGGTTTCAGGGTTTAAGGTTCAGGGTTGAGGGTTTAGAGTTTTGGGTTTAGGGTTTAGTGTTATAGCACTCCTTAAAGGTTGCTAACAGTTCAGGCAGTTCAGGGGTTCAGGGTGTTAGGTTCAGAGGTTCAGGATTTAGGAGTGGAGGGTTCAGGGTTTAGGGCTTAGGAGTGCAGGGTTTAGGGTTCAGGGTTCAGGTTTCAGGGTTTAAGGTTCAGGGGTTATACAAAGAGTTCAGAGGTTCATGGTTTAAGGTTCAGGGTGCAGGGTGTGAAGCTTAGGAGTGCATGGTTTAGGGTTCAGTTTTTAGGGTTTTTTTGAAGTGCAATAGCCCACTTTCTCCGCAGAAGACTCCCTCAAAACAGAGCGCGCATTGTTCGGGGTTTAGGGTTCAGGGTTTCAGGTTATTATAGTATTCTGTAAAGTCGACAGATAAGTTAAGCAAGAGATACCGCAAAACCCTATTGAATGATTACGACCCCGATAGTTTAACGTCTCCAGTTAGGTTCGGGTTTAGGTTCTCGGATTCAGAGATTGGAAACCTGCTGGCCCTGAGCCCTATGCCCCAAACCCCAAAGCCCCAAACCGCGAACCCCTCAACCCCAAAATCGCTCATCGAACCTTGCGATCCCCTGAACCCTCAACCCTGAACCCCAAATCGTGTCCAAAAACCTCCGAGCCTTCCGCCAGAACGGCTTCGAGTCTCGCAAGGGCAGAGTGAGGTGATCGGCGGCGAACCAATACATCAGGATCCTTGTTGGGTGCAGGATTCGGGGTTTAGGGTTTGGGGGATAGGGTTCAGGGAGTAGGGTTCAGGGGAACAAGGTTGAGGGGTTTAGGGGTGTAGCATTTAGGGCTTAGCGCTTTAGGGTTTAGGGGTTTAGGATGTAGGGTTTAGCTAATCACCTAGCCCTCTGCTGCATGTTCAGGTTTTGGCGTCTGGTGTAAGGCTAAAGCATATGTTAATATCATTGCGACCAGTTTCCGGCAGGCATACTTCTGTGTAGACAGAATGGGCAACCCCAATGAAAGTCATTGAGACATTCCGATGCCGGAGGTTGGGGTCCAGGGAAAAGGTTCCGGGCTGGTGTTTCAGGAATAAGGATAAGGGTTTGGCTTACTCTTCTGGGCAGGCCGTAAGTTTCTTTTACCCTAAACCCAACATGTACCCAATCTAGACCTCTTCTTGACATCAGCATGGCTTCAACACATGTAGTCGCTCCGAAGTGCGATCCTACATCCCCTCAGCCTGAACCCTTCCAAACCCCTAAACATGAAACGCCGATCCTAAAAACCCTAAACCCTGAACCCTACTGCAAGCCTTAAACCCCTAAACCCTGAACCCTAAGCCCTAACTTTTGCTGGTTCTTGGTGTAGGATTGCTAGCCACGAAGCTGCTGGACCCTCAGGCGAGTTGCGCATGGAGCATTAGGTCGGAGTCGTTGCCGCGCACCTCATCTTCCAGCACGCCAAGCAACGTGGCTTCGTTAAAAAAGAACGTTGAGGGCTCAAGTTTTTGGGGATGGGGTGGTTTCGCAGCTTCGGTTTTGTCTCAGGGCTGCAGGTTTCTGGAGCTTCAGAACTTTGCGCTTTGTCGCTTTAGCGTGTGCTCAGCATGAATCCTAGACCCTAAATCCTAAACCCCCCGAAACCCCGCAAACCCACTAAACCCTAAACCCCCGAAGCCCCCTAAACCCCCTAAAACCCCTAAAAACCCTTAAAACCCCCTAAAAACCACTCAAAACCACTCAAAACCCTGAAAACCCCTAAAAGCCCCTAAACCCTCGGGCCCTTCGTTTGGGAATCGGGTTCAAAGCTTCGGACCTGCGGCTTCTTGGCTTCGGATCTGGGGGATTTAAGGTTTATCGGGCTCAGGGGGTTTAGGGGTTAGGGGGTTTAGGGGGGTTTAGGGTTTAGGGTTTAGGGGGTTTAGGGGGTTTAGGGTTTAGGGGTTTAGGGTTTAGGGTTTAGGGGGTTTAGGCATTTAGGGTTTAGGGGGTTAGGGGTTTAGGGGTTAAGGGGTTAAGGGTCGGAGTTCCACAACGGAGTATGCTCAACGCACTTTACCTCAACGGGGCCCCAAAGAACACGTAAGGGACATCCCACATACATCCTGCGACACAGCCCAACAATATAGGGATATCTCAGTAAAATACTTATGCTCATATCTTTTTGGGGTTCCTACCTTCGACCACACCTCGACACAGAACCGTGTGTGACCCCAGCCTTCGCGGTAGCGTGCCGAAGAGTGTTCGGCTGAGGCAGGCGAGATGTGGCGAGGGAGTTGTACCTGGGTTACATGTTTCGGTTTCAAGGTTTAGGAGTTTAGGGTGTTTAGGGTTTTTCTTTTAACGTGTACTGACGTGTCTTTCTGCGAAGCAACGCCTGTCACAGAGGACATACACGAAAAGTGAAACAATCATGATCTTCAGGGTTTTAGGCATTAAGCTTTAGGGTAAGGATTTCGGGCGTGATTACTGAAGACACTGCGAACGAGGTAAACCTCTATGTCGAAATTGCTTTGGCCGCAGCAAGGCCGACAGTGCGCAACAAGACACGGTGCTTCGAGCCCCTAAACCCTGAACATTTCAGGACCCCCTAGATGAGCGTGCGCCCGCACACACAGGGGTAACACTGCACTACTGTCGCCACGGAAATTCCAAGCGCTGCTATTATTCTTCCCATGATGCCGGAGAGATAGAAGAGAGATAGAGGAGAGAGTGTGTGTGAGAGAGAGAGAGGGGGATCGAGATAAAGCGAGAGAGAGCGGGATACATGTATGTGTGTGTACATTATACTGAAACATGTGCGTGCGTGTGTGTGTGTGTGTGTTTATATCATATTGTATCTTATTGCATTACATTACATGACATTACATTACATTATATTATATACTACTATATTACAAATATTTATACTTATGTCTTTAAGTTTACATATTCATACATGTATACATATGTATGTACATGTGCTGCATGTCAATGTGGTGACAACTGGCTTTTTCTAGTTCAACAAATCCACAACTGCGGCCAAACGGAATTCGGAGACGTACTTTACCACAACAACACTATTGAAGGAACACTGTTCCTAAGCATTGGCGACTCTATTTCCCGCCATCAGCGACAAGCAGCCGAAGCTTACAATTCTTTCCAAAGCAACTGGTTTTAGGGTCCGTGCATGTTTATGCGGCTCAGGTTCAGGGTCCGATCTTCTTGTCATATGACCCCTCGTTTCCGGGGCAAGCCCTGAACTGCGTGCCACGATGCTCCAAGTACTCCTCCACATTGGTGTTTATCCTGAGACTCATTCAACTGGTTGCTCTATGTCGGTGCAAAAACGGGTGTCAGCTCTCCAGCATATCACGAGAAAACCCTAACAATCCTGAATCTGTTAAAACACAACCCTGAGCAACCCCAAAACATCAACCCTGCGCACTCAAGCCTGAAGCCTTCACCCACGTCTCAAGATCCTGAAACCCTCCAGCCCCCATCTGAACCGTAGTTATTAAACCCCTATCGTACTATGAATCCAGAGGCTGAGTCCGACACCCCGCAAACCCTACAAGCCCTGAACAGAACCGCAGGAAGACAAGCGTCTCACCAGGACGGGTGTCTTTCATGCCCATCGCCTCAGAAGTACAAGCAGTAGAGCCTACATCCTCACCCCAAGAAAGTTTCTTCGCGAAGCCGTCTGCATTCGTCCACTACATGGCAACATGCCAGAGTAGCAACAACAACACAAAAAGAAAAACCCAGCATCGAACATGTAGCCAAGACCGCAACGACAGCAACCACGGAAAAGACAATGACAATAAAACACAATAAAATCAATGATGAAGCATCTTGTTGTTCGTAGTGGCTGTACTGGTACTAGGAAGTTGAATGAGTATGACGATACTAAAGGATCAGGCTCTGCCGCTGCTGCTCCTACTCCTACTCCTACTCCTACTCCTACTCCTACTACTACTACCACCACCACCACTACCACGACTACTCCACCACCACGACTCTCCTACTCCTACTCCTACTCCTACTCCTACTCCTACTCCTACTCCTACTACTACTACCACCACCACCACTACCACGACTACTCCACCACCACGACTCTACTACTACTCCTCCTCCTGCTGCTATTACCACTACTCCTGCTCCTGCTGCCGCTACTGCTACTGCTCTTGCTACTGCGTCTGCCACTGCTACTGCTGCTACCGGTTCTAGTATTACTACTCCTACTATTATTAATTAATTCAGCTGCACCTACTCCTACTCCTACTCGTACACCTACTCCTACTCCTACTCCTACTCCTGCTCCTGCTCCTGCTCCTACTCCTACTCCTACTCCTACTCCTACTGCTACTCCTACTCCTACTACTACTACTACTATTACTACTACTACTACTACTCCTGCTGCTGCTACTACTACTACTACTACCACTACGACTACTACTACTACTACTACTACTACTACTACTACTACTACTACTACTACTACTAATACTAGTACTAGTATTAGTACTAATACTAGTACTACTACTACGACTACTACTGCTGCTGCTGCTGCTACTACTACTACTACTACTGCTATATACTGCTACTGCTACTGCTACTGTCACTGCTACTGCTACTGCGGTTCGGACACACCTAAAATTGGCGCACGCTTCAACGATTGTCACAAGGTCCTACCCGGCCACCAGGACGCAACACAACGGCACACAAAGATTGATTGGGTTGGAGAAGGCAGACATACCCTCGCAGCATCGAAAGGAAGGGAACCTGATGATAAACGAGCAGCCCACTTCACCAGCCGCACGTCTGCACGCAGTTCTGGACTTGCAAACCTGAGTTTAGGTTAGCTTTTGCTGGGGGGTAGGAATGTGGGCTGCGTTTACAAAGTTTACACTGTACATGGGGGAAAGAGACGAGGGCAGAATGACCCTGTGGTACTGATAGCACAGCATGCGCATCAAGACCCTCAGACCCGGAAGCATTGGTTCAGTGCGCAGCCGCACACCCAGCACCCCCCGCCAACGAAAAATACCTTAAGCCCCAAATGCTATGCCTGTGCCCCCAAACACCCAAATCTAAAATCCGCTACCCTAACCCCCAGACCCAAACCCATCCCCGAATTCAACACCCCAAAACCCGACTCCACGAGCTCCGCATTCCGAGGCGAGGCGCTGTAGGGCTTCCCCATCCCGGCAAACCGCCTGGGCTACGAGGTACCTGGCCGAAACGGAAACACTTGGAGGTTCATGGGTAGTTAATAAAGGGATCTATAGGGATTCTATAGGGGTATAGGGTTTAGAGCCTACTTGGAGGTTCATGGGTAGTTATACGTGGGGTTATAAGTCGAATATGGGTTATAAGTATAGTTGCCCTAATTATAACCGTACTTATAGCTCCCCATGAGTCTCAGGCAGGGTTTGGGGTTCAGGATTTACGGGCTTATGTTGCTTAGCGTCTTCACTTTTGATGGTGCAGGGTTTAGTCTTTGGCGTTTAGGGTTGAGGGCTTGGGCTGTTTGGTGTCTTCGCTATTTATCTGTAGAGCTTAGAGACAAGAGTTTGGGTTTAAGGGTTTAGCGGTTAAGTTGCTTGGTGTGTTGGCTTCTTCTTGGGTTTAGGGTTTAAGGTTTGGCGCTTAGCATGTTCTTTAAGGGTTAAGGATTCAGTATTTTTGGGCCTATGGCCTCGGTTTTAGGGCTTAGAGTTCAGGGTTTCGAGTTTGGGGTTTCGGATCTTGCTGCTGGAGTAGGTCATCGGGATTCTCGGCGAGCTTCGGATCTATGGTTGAGGGATGCCTGGCGACTTGGCCAAAGGCCTTATATATGTATATGTGTATGTATATATATATGTGTATATATATATAGAGTTACCTCATAGTACACAGTAAAACTTATACACTAACCGCTGATAGACTTGATAGTGCGCTTATAGTATATAGTAAAACTTACACTAACCTTTATAGTAACCCTTTTTGAGAACCTTTTATGTGGGAGCCAAAAGGGCCGAAGGATTGTGAGTCCTGGGAGGTCGGGTGAAGGTGTTAAAAGCGAAACAACAACATCCAAAGCCCGGAGAGAAAGGCGACTACGTTATGCAGGGGCCGTCATACTTAGCTTAGAGTTTTTGAGCTATATTCTACTATAAGTATAACAAGGAGCCCACCAAAATAGCTTTGGTAACTATCTTAGGGCCCTGTAGCAGCGAGGCCTGAACCCAGGCTCATTGGGGAACTCTGAAGCGCTAAAGCGCTGAAAGAACAAAGTTTCGCAGGTTTGCAGGTTTTGCTGAAATCCCTGAAAGCCCGAAACACGAAACCCTCAACGTTGAGCCCTAAACCTTAAACCCTAAAGCTTACCTCCGGATCCGCAACCCTAAATTCGCCTCTCCCAGCCCCAGCCCAAGGATCTTCAATGGAAGACTCAGCGAAGATCTGCTGCATGCCCGGAAGACTACTATACTAGAATTTCAAGAAGTGTTTTGGGGGGGTATGAAACTATAACTATTAGAAGAAAACCCTAAGGACAAATGTGTCGAAATATTCCGTCCCTCTATTGCGGAACCCAACGAAAGCACCCGAAGTCCAGGGAACCAGTCGTTGCGGAGCTCGTCCGACGCGTGCCGGAGAGCCAGTCCGTCCTATGTAAGGCTTTCCTATACTGAACTTAGAACCCTAGCAAAAATCATAATTTTAGCTGTTTCGTAGGGATTAAAATAACCAAAAATTAAAAATTATTTCTCAGTACCCCTAAGTTTCTGGGAGGTTTAGGATGGCAGACCTTTTCAAGCCTGCTTGCCTGCTTTAGGGCTTAGGGTGTGGGGCTTGGGGTTTGAGGTTTGGGGCTTATGATTTCTGGTTTAGGGATCAGGGATCAAGGTTCAGGCTTCAGGATTTCGGGATTAGTGTTGATCATTCAGGACTGACGATCAGGACTCAAAAAGGGGTGCAGAGCTTTGGGTCCAGAGCTTCCGGTCTCATAAAGCAAATCGGGTGAAAACGGCTTGTATTTCGGATCCACAGAGATTCAAGGATTTGAGAGAAGTGATAGGTCTTGGGGCTTCGGCACCACGAAGGACCCGGAAACCCGGAAATCCCAACGCCCTACACCCGAGAGCCTCCAATCCGAACCTAAGTGACCGCCGCCCTAAAGCCTAAACCCCAGCGCTGACTCAGAGGCCCTTGAAAGCAGAGCTCCTGGTTCAGAGCAGTCATGACCTTAGCTGCTTTCGGAGGGTCTCTTAAACCATCTACAAGGGGAAATCTATCTAAGGGTGTGCCTGCAGGGTGTAGGATCTAGTGCTCAAGCTTTGAGATTAAAGCCTTTGGATAGTAAGTTTGGGCTTTATGGCGTTGGGATTTCTGTAACGGTTTCCGGTGATGGGTTCGGGCTTGCGGTTTGTGGCTCAGGGGGCTGGGCCAGGGGCTCGAGCCTTCGTGCACCGGTTTCGCTCATACCCATATTGTGACTGCCCATGAAACTCCAAGCTACGTAGGTCCTGGCTGGTGGTAATCTCTTGTGACAGGCTTCAGGGTACGTGCGCACATGTTGTAGGAATCCTTTAACATGAGAATAGGGTTTTGGGATATTTTTGGGAAAGTCCTACTAATCAGTCTGACCTCAAGAAGCCCTTTTGGGAACCCCTTACCGTTAGGGGCTAAGTGTAAGACCTGAGAGTCCCCCAGGCTTCAGGGCGCTGGGACCTCAGGCCGCAGGGGCTTCACCTGGGCCTGCAAAAGACTACCTGCTTACATACCCTATATATAGTATCACTAGTATTATAGTGTGTATATATATATATATGTATATGTATACTTATGCATATAAGGAAATCAGAACAGGGAACCCTAGAAAGGTAGCGCATTGAGAGTAGTTTAGGAGTAGGAGTTAGAGTAGCAGGTCTAGGACTAGGACTGGGCCCTCCTCCCCTGCTGCTTCTTCTACTACTACTGCTACTACTACTGCTACTACTGCTACTGCTACTACTACTACGACTACTACTACTACTACTACTACGACGACTACTACGATTGGTACAGTACCACTACTAACAATCAATCTAGCTATCCCCCTGCTTGCCGACCACCCTTCCGACACGCATTGCTGTTGCGAGTGTTGCTATGGTGAGTACGACAGCCTCAAGCAATGGCATTCCCAGTTCTGTCTGACGTTGGTATCGTTGCTCGGCTTTTCTTGTTGGCTGGACTGAAAGTAATCTAGTTCAATGGCTGGGATAGGATTAAGATTTAAATTTTGTTCCTTATTGGGATTAAGTACCTATAAATAATGTAAAGTGTTACCCAACTGTGACCAAGTAATGTTGCTGTCAAGCATGGCTCCTGGCCTTGTCGATCTGATCATCCCAACCGTCTACCTGAAACCTATATATATATATATGTATGTATGTATATATTCTATCTATCTATATGTATATATATATATACACACAATATATATATATATATATATATATATACCGCGGGCGTGAACATCGAAAAAATACACCCTGGCTCGGAGAGAAAGTTGCAAAGGCTGTAGAAGGCGACTGGCTGCAAGCCCTGCTCCCCAATCCCGAATGGGAAGCCTCAAAATAACCCTTTTAGCGGTTTAGGGTTTAGGGTTTAGGGTTTAGGGTTTAGGGTTTAGGGTTTAGGGCACCCCTTAAAGGAACCCCAAGTAACCCTACTATAGTACCCCTTAAAGAAAAACGGCCGATTATGATGGAAGGCCCGAGCGTCCACCTCCCGGTCCCGAGAAAACTTGTCTGGAGCCAGGTCCAGCTTCCACCAATCTTTTTCGATCTCCTTTTTGGTGTTAAAGGTTTTCAGGATTTAGAGTTTTCCTGGAGGTTCTGATGTGAAAACCTTCCCCTCCGAGCCTCAATCGTCAATCCTGAACTTTGAGCTTTGAGCCTGGACCTTCGGGGGTGCAGGCCCCCGCAAGAGTTGCTTCCAGGGTTCCTTTACGGGCTCCCGTCAGCTTTCAGGGCTCCGCAAGGTGGAGACTTCACTTTGACATCATAGCTTGAAAGCTCTGCTCTCGGCACGAGCTGTTCGCGTTCTTTAGGTTAGGAATCCTAGTTGTAGAGAAAGTCATAGTCAGAGTCACAGATATAGTTACCAACCCCTCCTAAGCCCTGGATTAGAAGAAGCGCTTCTGACTGAGCCCTGTTTCGGTATGGACATGTCGCCGCTGCCCTGTAGGCGTTAGAGGCTTCTTGGGTGGCTTCAAAGTTGTGGGATTGAGACTGAGACCTTCTGCAATCAAGAGCCCATCTTGACTGGGACGGGGTTTCAACAATGATTAGGTCGAGCTCAAGAGGGGTTGCAGGGCTTCGGCTGGTGCGGTTTTGTCAAGGTAAGGATTTTCCTTCCAGATGGGATTTCTGGAGGCTTGAGGCATCCCTGGAGCAAAGAACGGGATGCCACAGCATAGTCATGACAACAATTTATATGAAGCCATCAGTGCACAAGTTCGCACCGCTCGAAACCCAAAACCTCCAAGGTTTCCAGCACTGTCGGGGCCAACATTTGCGAATTACCTCGCATCGTTCCCCGACATCCCACTGAAGTCCTTTACATTTTCCTATATAGGGGTCAAACCTAGTCGAACCAAACAGCGAGATAGCATGAGATAACACAAAATGAACACCGCATGAAAATCCTCAAGACGGCAGCCCTGAAATTCCAGAACCTCGCACCTCACACTCGAACTTTGCACCCTAAATCATCTCAGAGCGTCTTGTCCTAAACCCAGACCTATAAGATCCATGTGAAACCATAAACTAAAACCCTAAACCCCAAACCATAGTAAGTACAAGTCGCATGGTCGCCCTACACTTACCCTTGGTTAGTAGGGAATGGAAGAAGGGTAGCAATAGTAGTTCTAATGGTACCCCATTCCTCCATTCCCTACTAACCAAAGGTAAGTTATAGGATTATTAAGGCCCTGATATTATAGTACCCTTATAGATCCCTTATAGTAACCCTCTGCTTTTTAGGGTACTATATAAGGGTCCCGTCCTTCTCCCATTTGATGGGCTTTCCATCATGGCCGTGGCTCGGAGCCATCGAAAAACGCGCTCTTTCTGTGTTTTTTGTGCGGGGGAGGACTTGAAGGCCCTTGGCTTAGGGACGTATAGTAGGGCTTAGGGTTTAGGGGTTTAGGGGTTTTGGGGTTTTAGGGTAAGATTA